ACAGCAAGGCCCCAGGCGAGGATAGAATTACAGCGGAGCTTCTGAAAGCGGGTGGGAAACCGGTACTTAATGTCCTTCAGAAGCTCTTAAACTCCGTCCTCCATGGTGGCAATACACCGGAGGCGTGGAGCAGAAGTGCGGTGGTCTTGTTCTTCAAGAAAGGTGACAACGCTCTCTTGAAGAACTACAGACCGATTTCCCTTCTGAGCCGCGTCTACGTGCTGTTTTCGAGAATCATTACGAATCGTCTCGCGCGCAGACTTGACGACTTCCAGCCTCCCGAACAAACCGGTTTCCGAAAGGGCATTAGCACCATAGACCACATACATACCCTTCGGCAAGTTGTACAGAAGTCCGAGGAGTATAATTTGCCACTATGCCTGGCGTATGTGGACTATGAGAAAGCCTTTGATTCCGTCGAAATTTGGGCGGTGATGCAGTCCCTTCAGCGGTGCCAAGTTGACTGTCGGTATATCGAAGTGCTGTAGTGTTTGTACAGTAGGGCTACGATGGCTATCCGAGTAAAGAATCAAAGTACGAAACCTATCTAACTATAGAGAGGTGTAAGACAGGGTGACGCTATATCCCCGAAACTCTTCACCGCTGCATTGGAAGACGTTTTCAAGCTACTGGATTGGAAAGGATACGGTATTAACATCAACTGCGAGTACATTACTCACCTTCAATTTGTCAACAATATAGTCCTTATGGCAGAATCTTTGGAGGACCTAAACACTATGACCAATGACCTCAATAGCGCCTCCCAATGAATAGGTCTTAAAATGAACATGAACAAAACAAAGATCATGTTTAATGTCCATGTCACACCTGTGCCGGTAGTTGTTGGGAGCACTAAGCTCGAAGTTGTTGACGAGTATGTTTACCTGGGACGAATAGTCCGACTAGGTAAGTACAACTTCGACCGAGAGGTCAATCGACGGATTCAACTCGGCTGGACAGCGTTCGGGAAATGACAGCACACAACATTCTCGTCAGGTATACCTCAAAACTTGAAAACGAGACTGTACAACCAGTGCGTATTGCCAGTGATGACCTATGGAACTGAGACGTGGTCATTCACTGCTGGCCGTATGAGGAAGCTCAAGGTCACTCAGCGAGCTAAGAAAAAGTTAAAAATGTGCAAAAAAATTAAAGCTCAAACCACTGAGGCATTGTTTTGTGTATATATTTATTACTATGTATAATAGTGTGTATAATACTATAGAAACTGATAAACGTTTATTTAAAACTAACTCCTCAATTAAATGACATTGTGTAACGAAAAACTTTACCTCAGTCACAACTAGCGACATCTGGTGAGCGGAAGATTATTAGACCTCATTAGCATTGTATTGATACAATGTAAGCCTGAGTATAAGTTCTAATACCGTTGCTAAAACCAGTGTTTCATTGTATGTAACAGATTTAAATAAATCATAACGCTACTATCGACTACTCCGTTTGTTTTTTGTGAGCATGATGTATAAAGTTGGCATTCCATTGCCGATCGTAAATCCTTTATACAAATATTTTTGGCCGTAATTACTCACTAATGGTAATTTAACCACTAACGGTAAAAATAGAAGTATATTATCACTGGCTTCAAAGCAAAGTTATCCTATTTTTTCTACAACAGCGTCTTGTTCTATTAGGTACGTGGGTCGCATTTTTATTTATGAAATCAAAATATCTAATTCAATATCGTTATTTGAGCCGTAAAGTTATACCTCTGTGGTCGTTGCGGTCTTTTAGGCTTAAAAGCCTGTACCGCACTGGTACAGGTGTTTAAATGGTTGTACAGACACTAGTTTTACCTTGCCTTGCCATTTCTCTTTAATCAACTTTTACATCACTAATCGTTTAAAAAGAATGGTGATATTTTACTCCACTACACAACAATTAAAATTATAAAAATACTCCAATAAGAAAAAAGAGGTATTCCGAAAGAGATATTCAGAATTTGAAGTACTAGGTATCTATACCTTATATCTAGTTATATGTATATTAGTCTTCGAACTGGAATCAAAATCCACGCACTTTTTGATTTAGACTATATCTTACATAGCCAAAGAAAGATACATTAATCAGAAATCTTTCTAAAAACGTGAGTATAATCTGGACCTAAAACGGACCGACGTAGATTTTAAGACAACAATTTCACAACAACCTTTTTCAATAGTTTAAGAATGCGCTAGCTGGCAATTGTTACTCACATCAGGGGAAGACCCACGAAGTGTTTATGTTGATCAAATTTATCAGTCTTTGAAGTTTGGATTAGAACTTTCCAAAAAATATTCTGGCAATTTTTGCTCGCCAGATCCTCTTTCATTAATTTGTTGAGAGTTGTATGTCCCCTTAATACGTTGAACTGTCTATGTAACTTGTTTGTTGTGTATTGTTGTTGAGACAATCTGTAGTTTTCGTAGCTACAAAAACTAAATCAATGTAAACAACAAATGAATTCTCAACGCCCTATGAATTAAAATTGTTAATACACCTTTTCAATAACACATGTGTTATTGAAATTTAAATTTCGTTTAGTTTGGTAAGTTTACTTTTCTATCGCCGGTTTTCTTACCCAATATCTACGTTATACAAATTTTTTTTTAAATATTATATAACTAAATAAGTAAGTAAAGTTACTTAAGACTAAATAATTTATAAAAGGCTACTTTTTTATTTCTTGCTGGTTCTTCTCAGGACAGAGAATTTTTGCGCACCAGTGGTAAAACTAAATAATGACTTTCAATAAGAATCATTTATAATCTATATTGAATTAAAAAACATTGTATTCTTAGTACCAACAATGAGTGAGTGGCAGAGTCGGAGACGCCCTAAAAAAGAAGACTTACCGTATTTTGAAAATGTACCAAAGAATGCCCATCACCATGTATGCTGTTACTACTGTTCCCATCTCTGGACTGGGAGTCCCCTTCCATTTAATCGCATCCAGCGCAGAGCTGTTCGAATCGTCGACGACCGAACTCTTTCCAATCGGCTTAACTCACTGGCACTGCAAAGAGATGTTGCATCTCTTTGCGTATTTTATCGCATTTACCACGGGGTGTTCTGAGTTGTTTGGACTAATTCCAGCCGCACAATTTCACCATCGCACATCGCGACAAAACTCGCGACACCATCCATACCATCTGAATGACTGGCGTTCTACCACTGTGCGATTTAAAAGAAGTTTTCTTCCTCGCTTCCACAACACACTGGCACAACTTCCTTGTGGAATCGACTACCACCAGAGATTTTTCCGTACCGATACGACTTAGGGACCTCGAAGAAAAGAGCATACTCCTTTTTAAAAGGTTGGCAACGCATCTGCAACTCCCCTGGTGTTGCAGTTGTTGATAGGCGGCGGCATTCACTTACCATCAGGTGAGTCGGATGCTTATTTGCCCCCTCTCCTATAAAAAAAACTTATTAGTTTGTGGGTAGTAGTATATTATCTACTTGCGGATGTGAAAGAAGTGAGAAAGTTGTGTCAGGATCTTGCCAAATGGAAGTTAAGTACCTGCCTTTATATTTTTAAAAGAGATCTAATATTTGTATATTTTTAAAAGAGAAATAAGTAATTGTCTTCGAACAGCAGTGAAGGAATTATTAGAATCGAATTTTTTTTATATAAAGAATTTCAATTAATAGTTAGAAGTTTATAAGAAAGAATGGATAAAGTATCTTATGGTATTCAAACAAAATGAATCAAATAGATAGCATTTTTAAATGCGTGTTAACGAAAACGATGGCCGAACAGTGAACGACTTATTTTCACGGCAAGATTTCCAGCCAGTTTGGACAAAGTTAAAGCGATCGTGTCACGCAATACCGCAGTTTCGTTGCCGGACCGCAGAAGTCACTTATTTGATCGATATCAGGTCGTTTGCTCCACCGCTTTCGCAGTTCGCTCCATGACAGTATTATTTTTAGAATCTTATTACTTATTTGGTCACGCGAAGCGATTATCTAATAAGGTTGTTGGTTCATTATGAGGTCGTAGTTGTTATGATATGACTCATACACTTTATAGACAATAGATATGTAGGTAAATCTTGCAAATATGTATCTAAGGTGTATTTAGAAATAAAAATATATAATAAAATAATTAGATATGATTATTATAATATTTTTAATTAATTCAAAAGATAAGAAGAGTTGTAAAATGTTGAAACACGGCTAAAATATTTAATAGCAATTGAACATTACTATACTGACGACTATAAAGTACCTATTATTAACACTTACAACACGCGTAAGGTAAGGGAAAAAACTTGAAGAGCCTAGCGCAAATAACTATTACGGACAACGCTTTAATAAATACATTGTACCCAGAATCTTTAACAAAATAAAATGGTTAAGAGAAACGCCTCCAAATAAAAATAAAAATAAATTAAGCAAAAACTTATTAAAATCCTCTCTGAAAAGGACATTACGAGTATAACAGAGCTATAACACATTACATATTGTTGCATACTTTTATTAATCGCTTTTTATATTTATTTGATTTGCTTATTGTTTGTGTTGTATTTTTTTTTCATTATTATTTTTTTTTAGTTTTATAATTTCTAAATATTATGAAATTGTAGTAGGTAACTTTGATATAACTATCTTTTATTCTTTTGTTTATTATAATTAATTGTATTTGTATAGGTGATAGTGCATAATAATATATAGTATTAAGAGCGTGTACTCGCCGACAAACTGATTGCAGTTTGGCGAGAGAATAGTAAAAATAATGTACTTACCTTTGTATGAATAAATTAATTGAAAAAAAAAGAAGGTCATATAGATAAAAAAATCCAGAAAAATATTGCATAGATTTGTATTGGATAAGTGCAACTTAAATTTAAATAACTGGTAATAAACTTTCACCATTTACATTTAAGTAAGTATAAAAATATCACAAGAAAATAGAAATTCGATACAGGGGCGAACTAATATGAAAATATCTATAAAATAACACATAAAGAATACTTTAAGGCAGTAACTTGGAATGTTTATGCTCTTGATTTGTCAGCTTTGATGAATTTATCGAGGTCGGCGTCACTGTTGGGATCCACTTGTGACAGTTGCCGGAAACTTTCGTCATCGACAAAGCATATCTCATGGTCGTCGGGATCGGCAAGAATTATCACCCGCACTGTGGCCTTGCCGGGCGTGTCCAAAGAAATCAATGGAGTCAAAATCTTTCCATTTGCCTCGCGGACCTTTTGGTCTATAACGGGCTGCTCCTCAAATGGACACGAGAACGCGATGCGGCCATAAGCCTTAGCGTGATTCACAGGTTCACCTGTAATATATATAATAGCCAATAATAAAAAACCTATTTTTAATAACCTACATAAAACATAATTTCAGCGTCGAACAAAAAACGATTCGATATATTTAAATAAAACTAATTTTACGGATTTTATTGCGTATATTAACTTATTTTATATTCGATGGGAAGAATCGACGCTCCGGGAAGTCTGTAGGCTGTGAACACGTACAGGATCGCCCCCGTCACTACATTAGATTTGGTAGACCACAAATCCTCGCTAAAGAACACCGATTCCTTTCCAAGGATGATTCGCGAGGCTAATGAAATCAAAAAACTAAAATTAAATCCCAACCCAAGCATAAAACTGCAAGACTTCAAGATACTGTAAGTTCATACTGCGTAGATTGGAACAAAAATTAATAATTTTTTATCTGGAGGTAACCGTGTATAACTATGACATTGGTATGTCATACACATCAGTTCCCCCGTGACCATGGGAGCTGTAAAGTGATCGAAACGTCGGGAATATAAAATAAGTTAATAAATGCGATAAAATCCCTAAAACTAGGTTTATTTAAATGTGTAGTGTTCGCGTAAATATAGGAAATCATTATGATTAGATATACTTTACATCTAAAGAATTAATCATCAGTATCATAATCAAACCTATCAAAGTCACTGCTGAACAAAGAGCTAGATTGCCTCAAATGCCTTATGGGATTTGCCATAGTTGCCCAGCTTGGCAAGCGAGTTGGTAACCAGATTTTTTTTATTTTCAGTTGTTATCAGAAAAATGGGCAGCAACCATCGCTTGTTCAATTTTCCTCTGTCACCTCTACAACACCCACGGGATGATAAAGGGTAGTGGATTCTCTTATGCCGCCACTGCACAGCGAGCAGAAAGAATAGCGGTTACAAATTCAAAAAGCAATTAACCATTCTTACCAATATCAACTAATTCGAGTTTCGCCTGATCTTCAGCATAACCTAAAACAACAGATTTTTCTTTCTTCTCAAATATTTTCAGATTCAGAAGACCATTCCAGTATTCAACAGATCTTGTAAGGTTTGAACTTGATAAAGACACTTTAATCACTGGGTCTGAAAGAAAAAATTATACAATGATAAATATTAAGAAAGAACTCTCATAATCATAATCTATAAGAAGTAGTGCATTGCTAAACAACATAAGTACATAATCAATTTTCATCACCCTTTAAAAGTTCATTACTTTATTTTTATTAATTTATTCCTTACAGCCTCAGCCATAAAGTCCACTTTTGTACATAGACCTATGGATTGCCTCATAGCGAGGATATTTGCCCCAGTTTTTTTCTATTTATTTGATAACAATCTTACAATATTTAAATTGACAATTCACGGCATAAACATAAGTAATACAGATTTACATACATTTTTTATCTTTTTTTTATCATTCCTGTTTCGTGGAGGCAGTTTACAAAAATAAATTGCAAGAGAACAAACATCCAGATCCGGAAAAATTATTTGTTGGCCATACAAATACTTGTTCCGTGCGGGATTCGAACCCGCAGCCCCAGAGCAGCAACTCATTGCTAAGCAACTGCGCCACGGAGCCGTCATGGCAGCTTGACACTGCTGTGTTTCGTATGGTGAGTGTAGAGAACCAGAGACCCATTTTACTGGAAAAGAGGCATTCCATCTTAGTCCTCACGGGTGACGACGCATCTGCATTATGATTCTTCATTGAGGATAAATGTAGATGTCTATGGGTCACATTACATATCATAATAATTCATAAACCTACATACATCATAATATTGTGATGCATGCATTGAATCGCGCTCCCCGTACAGTCAAGGAACCGGTTTATTCTCCAGTCCTAGTGACGTCATTTGCATACCTGGCGTGTCGACTTCGCATACACAGGCTGCACATATTTTTTTAACACTAATTATGACTTGAAAAGTACTTATTGTCAATTATTTCTGTCTAATGTGATAAATTTAATACAAGGTTAAACATTTAACTTTTCAGCAAACTTCAAAAAAGGAGATCTTCGACTTTACCTTATGTTTTTTATTTGTACATATTTTACTTCTATTAAATAAGCTATACCTCAAAGTTGTGCCACTTAAATGTGATTTAAAAAATTAGGATTTGGTGTTTATTGTAACTATTTAGATGACATTCCAGTTGTTACCTTGAGCTTTAGTTTCTTTAACACACTGTCTTAATCAATGTCAATAATATGTATTATTATTTATATTTATAAACATTCCTTAACAAGGTAATCATTTGATACAATTCCTAAGTCGTTCCTAATTAAATTATCATCATAATTACAGCCTTTCACAAGTTCACTGCTGAACATAGGCTTCCCCTAAGGAATGACACAAAGCACGGTCCTGAGCCACCTGCATCCATCGACTTTCTGCATGTCTTACCAGGTCGATACTCCATCTCGTGGGGGGTCGCCCTACACTTCGCCTACCGGTACGAGGCTGCCACTCGAGAACCTTTCTTCCCCATCGGTTGTCGGTTCTTCGAGCTATATGGCCGGCCCACTGTCACTTCAGCTTACTAATCCGTTGGGCTATGTCGGTTACTCTGGTTCTACTGCGGATATCCTCATTTCTAAGTTTATCACGCAGAGAAACCCCGAGCAATAGCCTTCTCCAGAGCTCGCTGAGCGACCTTGAGCTTCCTCATACGGCCAGCAGTGAATGACCACGTCTCAGATCCGTAAGTCATCACTGGCAACACGCACTGGTTGTACAATTTCGTTTTAAGGTTTTGAGGTATATCTAACGAGAAGATGTGTCGTAGTTTCCCGAACGCTGCCCAGCCGAGTTGAATTCGTCGATTGAGCTCTCGGTCGAAGTTGGACTTACCTAGTTGGACTATTTGTCTCAGGTAAACATATTCGTCAACAACTTCGAGCTTAGTGCTCCCAACAACTACCGGCATAGGTGTGACATGGACGTTAAACATGATTTTTTGTTTTGTCCATGTTCATCTTAAGACCTATCCGTTGGGAGACACTATTGAGGTCATTGAGCATAGTGCTTAGGTCCTCCAGCGATTCTGCCATAAGGACTATATCGTCGGCAAATCGAAGGTGAGTGATGTACTCGCCATTGATGTTAATACCGCATCCTTTCCAGTCCAGCAGCTTGAAAACGTCTTCCAATGCAGAGTTTCGGGGATATAACGTCATCCTGTCTTACACCTCTCTGTAGTTGGATAGGTTTCGAACTCTGATTCTGTACAAGGATAGTCATCGTAGCTCTACTGTACAAACACTTCAGTACTTCGATATACCGACAGTCAACTTGGCACCGCTGAAGGGACTGCAGCACCGCCCAAATTTCGACGGAATCAAAGGCTTTCTCATAGTCCACATACGCAAGGCATAGTGGCAGATTATACTCCTCTGTCTTCTGTACAATTTGCCGAAGGGTATGTATGTGGTCTATGGTACTAAAGCCTTTTCGGAAACCGGCTTGTTCGGGAGGGTGGAAGTCGTCAAGACTGCAAGTCGTCAAGTCTGCATGCGAGATGATTCGTAATGAGTCTCGAAAACAATACGTAGACGCGGCTCAGAAGGGAAATCGGTCTGTAGTTCTTCAAGAAAGCGTTGTTGAAGTTTTGAAGAACAAGACCACCCCACTTCTGCTCCACGCCTCCGGAGTAGTGCCACCATGGAGGAAGGAATTAAAGAGCTTCTGAAGGACTTCAAGTACCGGTTTTCTACCCGCGCTCAAAAGCTCCGCTGTAATTCCATCCTCACCCGGGGACTTTCCGTTTTTAAGGTGCTGGAGATCCATTCTAATCTCGCTCAGACTGACGTCCGGGATATCTTCGGAATAGTGTCAGATAAGACTCGCTCTTGGATCGTAACTCACACTTGCGTGTGGCCCCAACGATGACGTGTACAGCTGCCCATAGAACCTTTCAATCTCAACCAAAATCTCAGGTGTCCCGGAAACGATGCTGCCACACTCGGTCTTCAGCTTTGACAGTTGGCTCTTTCTGGCAGACAGATCTCTGGCAAAGACTTTGGAGCCTTGGTTCCGCTCGATCGCTTCTTCAATACAAGCTGTATTGAAGTTGCGTAAGTCCCGCCGCATGCATTTGGAGATCTGTGTCTGTTCAGTTACCTTTATGCTGTCAAATCTGTTGAAGACTGAAGCTTCATCTCCCGTCTAACAGCCATGACATTAAGAGTGTGATCGGAGAGTTTTTGTGTTCTTCTGCGGCGGGTCTCGCAGAACTTAGCTCCGACCGCGTGGACAGTTTCCACGAGCTTGTCATTCATATCGTCCACTTCATTGCAGTCTTCTAGGCACTGAAAACGGTATTGTAACTCGAGCTGAAAGGTGTCGGGACTTTGGAACAGAGCACGCGGGGCGGAGCGTTGACTTCATTAGACGACCTCTCCAACTTAACGTTTAGGTTCAGTGTGCCTCTAACCATTCGATGATCGCTACCAGTTTTCACTGTCGCGATCACGGAGACATCACTGAACAGTTGTCGTCTGGTCGTCATAATGAAGTCAATCTCTTTTTTTGTCGAACCGTCGGGGCTCGACCAGGTCCACTTCCTGTGGGGCCGCTTCTGGAAGAAAGAGTTCATCATAAAGAGTCCCTCTTTTTCCATGAAGTCGGTCAACTGCTGGCCCCTTGGGTTCCGTTGCCCTATTCCAAATTTCCCTACTTTCAGCTCACCGTTCTCTCTTGTGCCTAGTTTTGCTTTGAAGTCTCCCATTAACTCCCATTAACCGTATAGTGGGTTTTGGAGGAATGCATGGCTCTAGAGATATCCTCATACATTTCCTCCACCTCATCATCGGGATGTGCCGAGGTTGGTGCGTAAACCTATATGGCCTTCAGCGTATACCGTTTGGTGATTCGGAGTATAAGGTACGCAACCCTCGTTGACACACTCTCAATCTTTACAACGTTGTTAACGAGATACTTGTGGACGATAAATCCGACACCTCCTTGGGACAGATGGTCGCCCTCCCGGTGATCGGCGTCGGTGTCAAAAAAGAGACCAAACAACATCTGCTTGTTTAAAACATTTGTTTAAAAATTTTAAACTCTGTTTGTTTACTTAAAATCACTGCTGTCGCATTAATTTACAAAAAATTTTTTAAAAAAAACCTTGAGAAAAAATGCTTTCTTGATATTACGAAAAACATAGCAATGTAATAGAAAATAAGGAGTCCGATAGCGCGTCTAAAAGGTTTCGAGGTATCTGAAACGACGGCGCATGTGTTGCTGGCATTTCCGGAGGTCGCTGTATACAGTAGGGCTAAATATCTCGGCACGCCGGAATCACAACCAGAAGTTGCTTGCAACATCAAAGGACTTCTTCGGGGAGATTTCATGGCGTGAATAATGATAATATTCGTGCCCGTGCCAAAATACGCGCTTAGACGTGGTGTTGCGGAAAATAGCCCGCCGTAATCTAATTTAACCTAATCTAAGATCATAAACTCAAGATTGTACCCAAGTATGTGCACTTGAGCTGAGGAATGTTTATTAATATTGGTCTTAGTACCGATTTTAGAAACTTTTCCTTTTTATTAAAATTTTTAGTTATTCTTCAAAATTATACTGAAATATAATTTCTAATATATATCTAAAATTTATCTATATAATTCTAAAATATACATTTTATATAACTTAGATGCATCGCCATCATTCCTTTCAGTCACGGCACATATGCCAGCACAAGTGTACTTTCTGGCTGAGATCTGACCAAAGGACCCATCTTAATAGCCAAGTTCTCTAACTAGGACATATATATTAATGAAAAAAATGGTAGTGCGTACCCTTGTCTATGGGTTGTGGTTTGTCAATAATGAAGAATTTATAGCCACCGGGTGCTTCAACAAACTTCTGGCCATCAGACTCTTCCACAGGCCAATTTGTAGCTGCAGCCCTCTTTAAAGCTTCACTAGACTGTATTGTTATGCCACGGAAATCATTCCCCCGCTCATAATGTGTGATCCCATAGTTGTATGTTAGCTCAACAACAAAATGAGTATCTTCCGGCCCATATCCAACCATAGTTTTGCTCCATCTATTAGCATAAGGCCTGAAATTAAAGTATTTTTGAATTATGTCATATTATTTCCACTTAAATCTAGTTCACAAATTTCAATATTCTGTTAACAAATATGTTGTAACAAAACAAAACAAAAAAAATATGATGCCTCAGTATTTTGTCTAATTGATGCAACAAGTGTTTAATATCAATTACAACATTAAGGCAAGCCAAATATTGATATTCCATATGTAGACAATGTCAATCAATTAAAAAATCAACATTTGTCAATTAGGTATATTTATCGATATAGTTTAAGATTGTACAATATTATTGAAAATATCAATAATATTGTAAAATCTTTATTTATTATCAATAATTTTCTTTTCAAATTTCAATATAAAATAGTGTGTCTAATGTGTGTGTCTAATGGTTCTATAATAGGTCCAATAATTATATGTAATTAATACTGCTATTAAGATTTAGCAGACAACAAGTAGGTACAACCAATTGCAGTTTAACTTAAGTGTATTTCATTTATTCATACTTTAAAGTAAGAGACTTGGTAGTTCAAGGACTAAGTGCTCACTGTATATCTCACAATACACAAGCAACCTGGGTTCAATCCATGCCGGCACCAATGAAATTTTTAATTGCAATTATAAGTGCTGATTTATTAAGTGCTAGGCGATAAAGGAAAACATCGTGAGGAAACGGAGGAGGCATGTCTGAGAACAAAGAAAAAAAATATTTCAAACACATGTGAAGTTTGCCAACATGCATTCGGATAGTTCAGCAGACATTTCCTTGCCCTAAAACCCTCTCAGAACTGAGAGGTCTGTACCCAGAAGTGGGATGTATATAGCCTGTAACCTTAACTTTAAGTATAACTAGGTGCTTGCTTTCGGCAAAATTATGTGTTGTAAAGGTAAAACAATCACCTAACAAGTATAATCAGCGATAAAAGGTTGAAATGTAGCTGCAGTGGCCCCTCAGGCAACCCCAAAGCCATGGGAAATAATCCCATCATAGTGAGATTGCCCTCCACACCCTACCCCCATTTTTACCCATCCTTTCACACAACATGATACTTCTAAAGGCTTACCACAAATCAATGTGGTAAAAAGTAAAATATTAAAATGTAATAAAGTAATAATGTTTCATTTAAAAAATTATGAGGTTCCTCATACCACCCTTCACACCAGACCCTTCTCCCCAACCCCTTAAAATTGATTGTAAGTTTTGCAATTTCTGCCTAAAAAATTAACAGGGTTTTTATAAATTAATAAATACAACTTTAACTTACCCATTACATGCTGCTTCACAACCTTCACTGAATTCCTCATGTCGAAGAACCTGCACAAGTTTTATGATTAATTATAGAAAACTAAATAAATTTAATTATTTTTATTGCTATGTTTAAACAAAATATGTTCTAAAATATAGCTAGTAAATATAACAATTACATTGAATTCCACTTATCAACATCATAAAATTCAACCACAAGTCCATAGCATGAGCATAGATTGCCACCTGCATTCATCACCTAGCAATTTCAATTCTTTATGTTCATTGGTAGATTATTCTACCAGTAAAGACAATTAATATTTTACTACAATACCGGTTTGGTTGGCATAAGTTTATTCAAGTTGTTTGTATCTGTAAAACATAAAGTAGCTGTTTATAAAGTGGTTTTTGTTTGTAAAGTGGTACCTTCATTCCCAAAACTTCTCTGTAAAATCTTGCTGTAAGTGTCCTGTCGGCTACTTTGAAGACAAAATGTAATGCGCGTCCTCGAACCATTTTCTTGGCTTGTCTAATAACTAAATTTATGTAGATATATTTATTTTTATTTGCTAACGGCAAAAACCTTTACACACACAACTACGAGTTCACTAATAAACGTTCACAATTAAGAAGTACTAAACGTGGTAATTTTTATACTATGCTTTGGTTGGTTCTTATTGCACAAGAACAAGACAACACATGAAACAATGACAATGTCACATAAACTTAGTCATAGTGACACTTGACATTGTACGAACATTGTTGTACATTGTACGTAGGTACGAACGTACCTACTACATTGTCAAGTTGACAATGTAGTAGGTACGTTCGTAAACCTAAGTCGTAAACTAATATCAGCGACTACCAATAAGTTTAATACACCGAACAAAATAAATACTTAATGTTCTGCCTTGTATGATGTCTGTGATTTTGCATTTTAAGAGTTAGGAATAAAGTACTTTTCTTAGAATCAAACTATATGTTATACTTGGGAGAAATCACTAGTTCACATTGAAAACTTGAAGTATATTCTAAATCTGTTCAAGATAAGATAAAATGTAAAGAGATTAGACAAAGAATACAGAAGAGAGCAGTCGTAAAGTATTCCTATTTCTTTTACTTATTACTCAATATTAGTTTAGAACGATGTTTTTCAACCTGTAGGTCGAAATCATATTTCAAATCACATTTGGTGGGTCGCGATCGCAAGCCAGTTAAAAGTAAAAAGTAAGGGTTGTAGATCTTATTTATTATTTATACTTGGTTGCATAAAAATGTCGTCAGCAACTAAATCTATAAGGTTTTCTTTCATCTTGATGGTCAAATTAGCAAATCGTACTGACATATCAAAAAAGCATTAAGTATCCATCCTTTTTTTTATATGCCTATTATCAGTGTGTATTATCAGCTTCAGAGCCCAGTTCTGGAAAAAAACTTCTTAGTTTTATATCCAAATTATGCAACCTCTGTATCACGCAAGGAATGTGTGGACTTACTACTAAGGATTTATCTGTTGCAATTTCTTCGACAAGCAAAAAGTGACTCGTTATCGTCATCATCATTACAGACCTTCACAAGTCCACTGCTGAACATAGGCCTCCCCCAAAAAAGCGACAAAGCACGGTCCTAAGCCACCTGCATCCATCGACTTCCTGCATGTCTTACCATATCACTCTATCTAGTGGGGGGACACCCCATATCCTATCCAGTCCAGTGGCTTGAAAACGTCTTACAATGCAGTAGTGAATAGTTTCGGGGATAAAACATCACCCTGTCTTAATACGTCTCTGCAGTTGGATAGGTTTCGTACTCTGATTCTGTACTCGAATAGTCATCGAAGCCCTACTGTCAAAAACTTCAACACTTAGATATACCAACATTCATCTTTGCACCTCTGCAGGGACTGTACAATTAATACTCATAGCGCTTCTGTACTTCTGTACAATTTGCCGAATAGTATGTATGTGGTTTGTAGTGCTAAAGCCTTTTCGGAGACCAGCTTGTTCGGGAGGCTGAAAGTCGTCGAATTTGTGTGCGAAACGATTCGATTCAAAGAGAAAGACTCATACACCTTATTTTGTAAAGTTGTTGACCACAAACGAAGTTTTGCTAGGAATACTTTGATTTTTTACTTGGTCGTTATAATGTTTTCTTTTCTCCCTTGGAAACTCTTATTTAAAATATTTAGGTTGATTTCTCAATAAGTGGTCAGTTTAGTCTCAATAGAAAGAAAATTAAATAGAACGTCGTTTTTAAATCGGTCGCCAATTTTTTTTTTTTTACTTGTAAAACGTTCGTGAATTCAAAAAATTGAAAAACACTGGTTTAGGATATCTATTTATCAAGGTATTATAGATTAGCGGGTAGCGCTGTCGCCCACATTTTAATATTTTACTTTTGAATATTGACTCGTGTGATTGTAATGAACATAGATTAGATTTGAGGTTAGACGTGTGTATATAGTTGTAGAGTTGCAAGTTGATTTTACTGTCTTGTTATTATAGTAGACTTCGCTCGGGCTAAAATCAATTATTGGGTTTTTCTGTCTCGGTCTTTTAAACTCGTTGCTATGCCTAATCACAATAATGTGATGTTAATCATTAAAAATATCGAAATTAATAGCGATCCATAGACTTAGAATAAACTGTCGTATAGACGACCTGACAGCTCGAAAACGCGTGACCAATTTTGATTTGTCATTGTGTGCGTTAACTAGTGATGTACATTTCACTTACAAGGACTATCGAAAAATGATTGTTAAAGAAGCGGTAAAAAGATTAAAAAAAATTATTTAGTGCACGAAATTTAATAACTTCAAAAATGTACTGAATTTTACCATTAGAGAAGATTATTATTAGTTTAACTTTTTATTGAAGAGATCTTTAAAATATAAGCTGTATTGTATTGATAATCCTGAGATTTCATGAGATTTGCAAAAGCCAGCCGCAATCCTGAGAAGATTCCAAAAATCCTGAGATCTCAGGACAAATCCTGAGATATGGTAACCCTAGCACGTACCCTACGAGACGAACCCTACGAGACGAAATGGAACAATATTGTTTGTAGGTCCACAAAATTTATAATTAATTTATTAACAAAGAATAACGATTTCTTATATTTACGTGAACACTACACATTTAAATAAAACTAGTTTTACGGATTTTATCGCGTATATTAACTTATATAACAATGGATATATTAACGGATAGACACCACCTAAAGAACACCGATTTCTTCCAAGGATTATCCGCGAAGCTATTGAAATCAAAAACATCCTAATTTCAATAGAGAAGATGGCTGGGTGCTATCATCTGCTTGGGATCCTATAATTAATAAAAGTAAATCCCAACCCAAGCATATAACTGCAAGACTTCAAGATACTGTAAGTTCATACTGCAAGGATCGGAAGAAAAATTAATAATTTTAATTTGGAGGTAGCCGTGGTTAACTAAGACATTGGGACGTCAAACACCTCAGTCCCTCCCGTGACCATGGGTGCTGTAGTGTTCGAAACTTAGGGAATATAAAGTAAGTTAATATACGTGATAAAATCCGTAAAACTAGGTTTATTTAATGAATAACCATTTTCGTGATTTAAAAAAAAATACATTAGTCGTCTAATTAAATGGTAAACTTACCCATGAATGAGTGCGACTTCCGACTTGTCTATCCAAAATGAATGGACAAGTAAGAAGTCGCACTCAGCTATATCTTCCGACTTGTCTAACCAAAATGGTTAGGTCGGTCGTCGGTAAATCGGAAGATATAGCTTATTCTGATTGACCATGTTGCATATTATTATGTTTTGTATGTTATGACATGATCGATAAAAACGCTTGTTGAATCAAAAGTAAAAATTATACTGATAACATGTTCCGTAAAAAGCCCGTGGGATGCTCTATAGACAGTGGTAGTGTCAACAACACCAGCTAGGCGTAAGATATACCTACAACTGAACGAGAGTTCATTTAAAATGCTGGTATCATAGGTCTCCCTATGATAAAATTTGTCAAATAGGACCAAAATTTAAATTGGAAAACAAGTGTATTAACAGTAGGGACCAAAGTCTTCCTAGTAACGAGTTTCATTTTCTTTAATAATAGTCTGTAACAGTACCCAATATGATGTAGTTTTACTTGGTGATGGTGCTTCGTTTGAATTTCAGACTCAAGCGGCAATTGTAATCATATCAAAATTAATGCACAGGTTTAACAACAATTTTCAATATGGTAGCGCTTAGTCTTGTTGAATCCACTGTTTTTCGCGGAATTACAGTTAACGCGAAAGTTCAGTGTGGCCACCGTATATCTAAATCAGCTAGCACAAACTCAGTTCTGCCGCATATGTTATAAAAAAAGATTAATAGATACATTTTTTATAGGATATGGTGACAAACGACGAAAGAATCAAAATGCAGATGCGTTGTCACTCGTGAGGACTAAGATGGAATGCCTCTTTCCAGTAAAAAGGGTCGCCGGTTTTCTACACTCACCATACGAAACACAGCAGTGTTAAGCTGTTATTTTACGCTGGTATTCTGTAAGAGCGTGGCCTTTCCCCGGTCGAGCCGACCCATTCGTGCTACAACTATACTATTAATATTGCTGCAGCATTGCTCTACCACGTACAAATGTACATGTGTTGAAACCGCCAGATTACTTTATTTCAGTTAGTTTTATAGCCCTGTTGTATTGTATCCAGCTATGGGGTAATGCGACTGACATTGAAATTACTCAAACAAAGCGTTGTATCTGTGGTAACGTGACAACCGTTGTTGTTTAGAGGATTTTTGGAAATTAACATAATCGGGAAAGCGCACCATATATTTGCGGCGAATTGCTAACGATCTTTTAATTACATTTTCTAAAAAAAATAATGAAAAGATTAAGTACTTTATGTTGTAACGTACGTATATTTGTGCCATCCGTAATAAGTGCATCTAGGATGATCGTCTTTATCATTCCACCTACGTACTGATTCATCACGATATCTCTGGAACCATGAGGCCTACAGACTTAAAATGTTCAAATGGTAGGAATGTTCCTTTCGCCGAGTAGAGGTCAGCTAAAAAAGGATTTTACGAAATTCCACCCGCAAGAGGGGCTGCGGTTAATTAAAAAAAAATCACATTTTCAAACTGTAGCTCTTGTAGGTATAAAACTTGGCCAGAATATTCTTTTGGCATGTTAAAAATTACCAAGAATAGAATTTATGAATATCCACCCACAAAGGGGGCATAATAATATGCGGTACTTCATATTATGTTTTATGAATATTTTTTTATAATTTTTCAGACATATGTACAGGTTTCCTCACGATGTGTTCCTTAACCGTCGGTCACGTTGTAAAATCATCACTAATTTCAATACTTAAGTATATTATATTTTCTACCACATAATTAAAAAGTAAATGTATGCGCCTTAGGCGTTTAAACTTCTATCAATAGAATCACATGTGAATATTTCAAAACATGTTGCATTTCGCTCGCTCATATTGTATCAGAGTAAAATTCTGTT